GTTTAACATCACCTGAGAATAAAATTGTGTCCAAAAATTTAAACCAGTTATTTAAACCACTCTCAATACAATAATACTACATCGCTCTTCCACCGCTAGATGGCGAGTACCTTTATCTGTAAATCTGCTAGTAGCAAAGTAAAAATAATTGTATAATTCAAGGTATAAATAATTGTATAAGTCAATAGAAGGCTCGTCAATTAATAAATGTATAAATAAAAAATACATCTGAATTGTAAGATAAAATTACGATCAAAACAGCTTAAGAACAGTCAAAAACTTGTAGTCATCAATTTGAGCATTATCTACCAATAAATGTGTTAGATCTAATACAATATGGGACGCGGTTCTTTATTTTTTTTTTCTGTACCGCAACGAACTCTCAGCACTCTGGCTATATGGTAAATGGCGCACAAGCGGCTAGAGGTAAGTAGGTTTTTCAGAGTAAAGGACAGGCGAGCACACTTGCGATACCACATGCGTGTATATGGGTGTGTGTGTAAGCGTGCGTGCAAGAAAATATATCTATATAGAGAAGAGAAGAAGCCGCCGCCGAGCCGTGTTGCATCGAGCATATAGTGCAAATCCCGACGCCGCCGCCGCCGCCGCAGGTACAGTTAAAGAGAAGGCCCCGCGCGCACGAGTGCACGACGCTTACTTTTGCAGCAGCGAATGTATGTGTGTGTGTGTGTGTATATATACCGGCTTGCGGATGGCTACAGGCACACACGCTCACATTGCAATTATAGGTGCGCCTCGCCGCGAGCTTCATCGCCAGCTCGACGTACGAAATATATCTGTATACGTACAGTGGGGCAAGACATACTTATGTTTCGCGTTCCGCGTGCCCGGCAGAGTATTCGTAATATATTCGTGAATTCCAGCGATTTATTAAGCACGCGAGCCGCTACTTTTCTAGCTTTGCATTAGGAACAAATAGAGAATCAGAGGAAGAGACATGAGAGAATAGAGATATTTACCGAGCGCGTCGACAAGTCGCGAAGTTTATTTTTTCTATATTTCAAAGCTCGCGGGTATATTTGCGAGCGAGACGATGGGATACTTGTATACAGGACGAGTGAATAGGAGAATAAAAGCTGCCGCTTCGAAATTGAACGATCCATATATTCCAATTGTGTATCCATCGACACTTTAGTGTGTGTGTGACACTTTAGTTGTGTATCTATCAACACTAGATCGCTCCGCATTATAGTGTTCGAAATTTACCTTAGCTGCGAGCGTCGGTCCTGCTTGCAATAATGGCAAAAATTAGGAAAGATCGACGTCGAAATAAATAGACGTATTCTTATGGAAATGCGTCGGCTTTCAAGATCTTATTTTTTTTTTACTATTACAAACGCGCGAAAGTTATATGACTTAGACACGCAAATAAACAGGTACCATCGCATGAACACGCGTCTGGCTGATCGGATACTTGACTACGAATATTTTTTTTTGGCACATCTCCTCTATTGATCGTAGTCATTTCTTAAATTTTTGTTTCACCCATCCCAAAGCAAAGACCGAACTAGAAGTTTCAGCATTCAAATGCAAAAGCTTTGAAATATATACCCGTCGGAAAGGTTTTCTACTTGCGGATTTTCAATACTACATCTGTTGACGGAATCAAAAAGCTCACAATCTACAGCTTAATACTTCTGCTTTCAATGAATAATTGTCATAATCCAAAACGAATTTTACAATATTAATTCTTACATTTTTTTACGAAAATACGAACAAGTAGGAAGGAACAAAAGATAATACGCAAGAATTGCCTCGATACAATCGATAGAATTTGATTTCACGCTTTTATAGTGGCAACATGTACTAAATAAGTACACGACAAAACGGCGCGAAAATCACAGGCAAATACTATAAATATATATCACGCGCGCATACGATTATACCCCTTTCTTTCTTTCGATACCGATTTTTCACACCTCTCTCTCTCTCTCTCTCTCTTTCTCGATCGCGTCAGCAAAAGCTAATCTCTCGTGTAATTCGCGATTTGTACGAATGTGTTTTTCCCCGTTTTTATCGGGCCGAGTTCGGCGTTACTTGTGTGTGTATGTCAACAATGAATAAACGACGCAGGCACGAGCGATTCGCATCGACGCCGCGCAGCTCCTTTTTATACATCGAGGAGAGAAATGGGAGCGCGACCCGTTCAATATCGATTTCACGCCTAAGCTTTTATCGGAATCGAAGCCGGTGAGAGAGAGAGAGAGAGAGGTGGAAAGGGTTTTTTTTTCGGTTGCACTTATTTATACACTTACCGACGACGCGACTACTCGGTAGATTTTTCAAAGCCATGAATTTTCGTCGATTACTTTACTTGCATAGAGGGGACACGTGCTATGAGGTAGGTATCGATTTTTGCGTGCACCAGCGAGACGATTTCGATATCGAAAGGAGTAAAGACAGAGAGAGAGAGAAAAAAAATCATAGTGTAAATGGCGATACGCTTGTTACGTACTTACACATCGGAGATTCGCTGGTGCGTAAAATTTTCTCTATACATCTACTGGTTATATGTATTACATCGGTACAAAATTTTTACGCTCAATCTGTCGAACGATGACTAATTTGCTCTCTCTTATTTTATTTTTCGAACCAATATTTGTCTAAAAAATCGTACTAATCACTGTCGAACCTCCCCGCACGCCTTATAAACGCCTCAGATTTATTCAAAACCTCGAATCGTCTGAATAAATCGCGCTCATAATTTTACTAATGGGCTGGTATTGAATTCATTTTTTTTCAATCGTGCGTACACAACGTGACATCGCAAGGCCTACATGGCGTCAACTATAGACGTCAGATCCACCCACGCGCGGTACGCAGGGGGAGCTTTTATCAGTTGATTAGCAACTTTAACCCATCGATATAACAATTTTACAGCGGCGACATATGGCGGCCCCGATACAACGTCTATAGTCGGCGGCTCTGCGGATGCCTTATATATATATAGGATTATCGCGCCGACGTTTTGTGTACAACGTGTAACTGTCTGTGCAGGCGCGCATATATACACTCTGTATATGGGGCTTACAACGCGCGGAGATTCGTCCCTCGTGTGTACTACTTGCTTACTTACCGTTGTGCAGGACACAAAAGCCCAGTGGCACGAAAAAGGAACTTTAGGGCCAGAAATGTATTTCGACCGCATTGTAACTAATGCTTATGTGCGATCGCATGCATAATTCACGATCCGTATGCGCGCACACAGACACACGCGTATATATATAGATGCAGAGTGCGGTCACGTTTCGAGATTAGTTCATAGCTCAGTGAAACGGATCAATGCAATTACGACAAGTGCAGTAAGGACAAGTGTAAACGAGGAATCGGACTGTAGGAAGCGGGGGTGAAATAGAAGCTAATGCGTATCACGATTGAAAATCCAAACGCTCGTAAATATGTAAATCTCGCACAAAATCAGAGGCTCGATAAAAAAAAATTGAAAGAGTTGGGTGGGAGCAATTTATATTATTTAAATTATAAAATCACCATGAGATCATTCGATTCTTTTGAGAGATGGCACCGATCGGTCGACGGGATGAAAGAGAATTCATCGCATCAGAACCGTCGGGTAATTGTAAAATGATATCGGCCATTCAAGACGCGTCAAGTGTCAAATTTTATCATAGACGCTTGAAAGTCGGTGCATGCTTGAAGGTTCAGGAAAAGATGCATCTCGATCGTGTTACGGAAATTGGGATTTCTTTCGTGAAGAAATTGCGGGTCGGATTATCGGTAACCAACGTTAATCGATTTGATTATTAAGTTGGTTTAGTTGGTTTAGTTATGAGACAATATTATAACTCTCTCATAAATAAAAGATAAAGGATGTGTAACTGGATTTCGTATCAAATTATACATCAAAAGTACAATAAGCCGATACAATAAAGTAGAAAAAGGCATTCATGTAAATGTCATGTACAAAAAAAAAGATTTCGGTCATTTATATTCATGTGAGTTTGAGGATAGTGTCAAGTTCAATGGTGTCCGAGTGAAAGGGAAGGTGAACGGAAGGTATGTGAATAGTAGTTTGTATTAGAATGAGTTTAACATTTATATTGTAAGATTCGAGGAGTCAATCACTTTCAGCTTCTAAATTCTAAGCTCATATTCATCAATTTAATTTCTCCATTAACTTATAGTTACACAAATCGCCGCTAGATGATGCGCGATAAGAAAATTCCGCTACGCTCTTATTTGATTGCGAGCGGCGATTTTATATCGGATCAGAAAATCAAGAATTTCATAGAGTGCAATGCGTGTCTTACAAATGAAAACGAGAGCGATATGTATTTTTTTTTTTTTATTTTATAATCATCGCTATTACCTCGATAAAGGCGTACCCCCGAAATTATGAATCTCGTTCGTTTCTCTTTCGTCCGATTGTATTATTGTATATAAAATTCAGTGCGATGCACGATTCGAACGAAAGCAAAGGTGAAAAAAAAAAGAATCGAGGATGAGTATACGTGTATCGATGCCGTGTGTGCCAGAAAAAAAGGGCATCTCAGCTCGCTGTAATTATCATTACCGGCGCACGCGACAGACACCTAAACACAAACACACACGAGCGAGCGATACATCGAGAGCATGACAGCACATGCGTATCGCGTGTGTAACAACAACGGCTAATAATCCGGCAAAACCTCTAATCTCGTGCCTGTGTGTATAAGAAGTTCGGACGAAAATATATATCACACAGCATCGTCGTGGCCTATCGTCTTTTCTGCCCGACTGCGCAGACAGGACACGCGCGTCCCCAGCCCCACCATCACCATCACTGGCTACACGAAATATAATATCTCTCTCTCTTTCTCTCTTTCAAGAGAGTAAGAGAAGGGGATTTACTCGTGTATACACTCGACGAAATAGGAGCCCCTTGGAAAGAGAGAGGGCGGGTTCGGTCTGAAAAAAGCTCGACGCGCGCGCGCACGCCACGGCGGCAAGCAGGGTAGTTGCTTTTATCCGCACGAAGTGGAGGGGATAACGATCAACCCTCGTGAACTTATAACTAGGCCCAGCGGTGGCTCGGACGGTTTAGTTTGGTTTTAGTTGCCGTCGAGGGTACACGTACTCACAAACACAACACCGCATATACACACATTCGTCGCGTTACAGTACGATACACGAGCCAGAAATATGTGTTGATATTTTTGCCGATCGCCACAGTAGTTAGTTCAGTAACGCACGGCCGAAGTTGGCCGACAGTGAAATACACGAGAGTCGCGAATATATTGTATTATTTATTGCACTACGCACAGTGAGAATTATAAAATATACTCGGTGCTTCGATTTTTGGTATCGTATTGGTGTTATTTTCGCTGCTGCTGCTATTCCGTTGAAGGTGAAAAAAAAAATTGCACATCGACTCTCTCTCTCTCTCACGTGTGTGTGTTGGTGAAGTGATATAGCGAATTTTGATTTTGCGCAATTTTGGCACCGATCGAAGACTCGGTGATACGCTCAGCTTCGTCGCTTTATTTTTCAAGGTGGGTTCATTGCGCTAGATCGGATAACTTGTTTGAAATTGAAGCAAAATTGACGTTAAAACAAAATATTTTTATTTTGTTCGACACAGTCTAGTGATCATTTTAACGAACGAAAAATTTAATATTTCAATAAAAAAAATAATATATTTCTTTCCCATCGCGATATTACGATAATTTTCGTTATTTCATTTTATTTATTTTGCATAAATTTAATGAAAGTTTTTCTTTTGGCAATGTTTTGCAATTATTTGCACTTAAACCGTTTGGCGCATGATTTCAGAAATACATCGATAATTTTAATTAATTTACGTTAAGATAAATGCTTCAACGCAAATTAAAAATATCAGTAACGAAACAAAAAAAAATTTTAACTCATCACTCAACTAACTTTATTATAAAGATACGAAGAAAAATTAATAAAAAAAACGTCCTCTTCGCTCTCTCTATGTTCCCGCAGAAAAAAGAAAAGCAGACAGAGCCGGTAAACTTTCCCCGTTCTATCGTCACCTATCTCTGTCGCATCGACATGCTGCACCACCTGCAGAACGCCGAGCGGTACAGCACGTACTGCAACAGCGAGGGCGGATTCGACGAGATGGAGAGCTCCTCGGACTCGGGCTTCGATCACAGCTACGAGAAGAACATCATCAACAACAACAACAACAACAACAATAACAACAACAACAACAACAATCACGAGCTGGTGTTCACGATCAAGGAGGAAAAGCGCGGCAACGGCAAAAAGACACGCAACGCCCGCTGCAAGAGTCCGACCCAGGTAATTAGCTGCGCGCAAAGCAACAAACTACATTTATACACACTCTACATCCCTTCCATACCTATGCGCGCGTGTAGACGGTCCATTCATTCGTATCCTCACTCACTCACTCTCTCTCTCTCACGCTCTTACTTCCGACGGTCGATGCGTCCGACACGCATGTGTGCAATATATATCCGCTCTCGAAAATATTCCCATAGCCCATCTCCAACCATTGTTATAATTTTTCTTTTTTTTTCGCTCTTCTTCACCTCTGCCTGTTATTACAGTTGCAACGCATCAAGCGCACCCGTCGCATGAAGGCGAACGACCGCGAGCGCCATCGCATGCACACTCTGAACGACGCCCTGGAGCGTCTCAGGCTGACCCTGCCCACCTTCCCGCAGGACACCAAGCTCACGAAGATCGAGACGCTGCGCTTCGCGCACAGCTACATCTGGGCGCTGCAGAACACGCTGTCGGGCCAGGCGCCGCCCGGCGAGGAGATCACCCTGAGCGTGGGCGAGATGACGGTGAGCATCGGCGAGGCCGGCAACATGATCACCTCGAGCGTGGGCAGCTGCCAGCAGGCGCTGCAGAAGCGAATGGGAGCGTCGCCGACCGCGGCCCCCATCGGCACGGGTGGTATATACTTGCCGACGCTGCCGGTCACCCAGCAGATCGATTGGCCTCAGCCGCCTCAGCAGCAGCAGAGGCAGCGGCAGACCGAGTACGACTGCTACGCCAGTGACCAGAGCGTCAGTCCGCACATGCCACTGCAGCAACAGCCACAGACTCATCAGTTTCAACAGCAGCAGCAGATGAGTCCCCCGATGGTCCAGCAGCAGCAGATGAGTCCCCCAATGGTCCAGCAGCAACAAATGAGTCCCCCAATGGTCCAGCAGCAGCAGCAGCTACATCTTATGACGCAGATGCAGCAGGCTCCGCCGACGAATCAGTTGGCTTACAGCCCCGAGGGTCAGTGCTACGACCAGAGGATGTATTACGATCAGGACGATGTTTTTCACTGTCTGTAGATCTTTATCGATATCGGTATCGCTAGCGTAATTATTATTTTTTTATCATTTCTTACGGCTGATTCTCCCCTCCGTGTATATATTATATAGATAATTACGAGAGGATCGGTTTGTAAAACTTTAGATTATACAAAAATGTATATTTATTGAAACATTGAGATACATCTGGATGCCTTTTAAAAACGAGAGAGACGAGAGACAATAAATGTATGGGATGATGGGCGCCCGGGCTAGGCGTCGATAAGTGTAATATTTTCTTAAACCGTGTATATGTACATATTTCGCGGCGTGCATCGATGTATCGATTAGTAAGGCCTATTTTTGATAAAATATTTTAGAGTCAGGTAAAAAAAACAAAGATTGTGTGTGTGTGTGTGTGTCTGTTTGTGTGTGCAGGGTGAGCGCGTATCTCGCGAACGTATCGATTTTTTTGTTCCTTTATCTTCTATTTTTTTTTTTTTTTTTCGTGCCAACCAGGTCGATAATCTATTCAATCAGAAGGAGCTGCACACCTTCTATCGCAGACAACAGATACGAAAATTTCGTAGTTAAGCATTTTTGAGCAAAGTTTATCGTAGGATTTAAGCCGAGAAAAAAATGAAAAACTCTATTTTTTGAATAAAGAAAAGAAAGAATAAGAAAAGGATCGGATGTCGATGAATTTTAATCGAGAACTCGTCGGAAAAAATTGATAAAATTGGGAGAATGATGAAAAAAATAAAAAGAAAAATTATACAATTGTTGAAATTAAAAAAAATGTATGATGAAAAAGTGAACGCACATATTGCTATTGAAAATTTATAACGTATATTTAAGCGTATACATTGTAAGATTTTCCTACTTGATACTTGTTAACTACTTTTGTAAGATATTTTTTTAGAAAATGTATCAATAAGAGAAAAAACAAAGACCCCCCAAAGAGAACTGTAATTTTTAATTAAGACGGCCCAGTGCATTTTCTTTTTTAATTTATCTATGAATAATACATTTTACGTTTCAATATTTTGTGTCTAGTCAAAGATGTTGAATCGACGAATCCTCCTTGATCTCAGATGAAATGTAAATTAGCGAGCTAGAAAAGCTGCAAAACGTTGAAAAATTTTTTCTTCCGTGTTTTAACTCTGTAAAAAAAAGTGGAAAAATTCTTGTACAAAACAGGCCAGCGGCAGTCCTTTGCCTTCTTATCAGTGCTCTTAACAATTTTACGATTGTAAATCATAATGAATCTTCGAAGAAAGCAGCAAGAACAATAATGAAAGAAAAAAAAATCAGTGATAGTACTTGTACGAAAACCACTATACACGATGAATAAAGTATATCTTTAATTAAAAAAAATGAAAAAAAAAAAAATTGATAGTCATCTCATTTAATGCACCTTCAACCGTATCCGTCATTCGACCGTGTATCGTATGACCTGAAAATGTTTTCGGGCTTTTTTACGGAGCAGCAATAGCGGCGTCGGTAACACGAGTCTAATTCGGTGGAAAAATCGGCCGCATCGATACTGGAGACACATCCTCTCTCTTCGTGGTCTTTTAGACTCTTGGGCCTGCAATTCGAGTAAGCGCCACGACGCGTGCCAATATAAATGTACGTAGCCCAGTGACGTCGGCAGCTGCCTTTGAAAATCCTCTATCGAGTACGTATATATAATACGCAGTAGTACACATATATTTGTGCGCGTGGCACGTGTCGGACGCGCGTCGCGACGCAGCTACTTATCGCTGCTATATATACATCGGTCTGTATACGCATGGTCTACATCGGGATGGACGCACCTGCAAAATCGTATTAATAAAAACAGACACTCCGAGAATCGAGTAGCCGCCGCCGCTGCGTGATTCCGCTGATGGGACTATACCATTTTTAAAGAGAAGCTCGACGATCGATTCGAGACGTTATCCTTTCACTTATCTCGTCTATTATTATTTTTCTATCGTTGCGTACGTATACTTCAAAAGCGTTTAAAATAATATACGGCGCTCATCCCGACAATGTCGGTGGATTAAAATTACTGACGCGAAACTAGTCGGATGATCGTCGTCGTCGTAGCGTCGAGAGCCGTTGTTAAAGAGCTGCACCACGGGAGCTTGCGATGGGGCGCGGTGGAATTGCGTCAACAGCCTGGAGAGAGAAAGAAAATATTTTTCTTCGGCTAGTCATGAATTTTCGAGCCAAGTATATATAAGAAGCCTCTCGAGTTGAAGCAACAGTGACGACGACGATTGATTTTTTTTTTCAACTTTTTGATAGTCGTTTAACGAGAGCGAGAGACGCATTCGGTTATATAATATACAGTTGCAGTTATCAATCGTTGCCGTCCTGCAAACACATAACGTAGAGAACGAAGCGTACGGTGTACAACCGATTGTTTTTCTCCCCAAAAGCCGTGTCGGGTCGTTGCTGCATTGTTACGCTGCAGCTAAAATTCGGGAGCTCGTGACGTTGACGCGCGCGCGGGGCATTATGCGCTCGAATAGGCGCCGATTTATCAAATATTATATACGTGCGCTGCTGTAAATGCACAGTACGATATATAGCCCGAGTGTACATACGCTGACGTGCCCTTTGCGTAAATTCTAGATATATATTTTATGCTGCTGCTCCCGTTTGAGACTAGGTGTCGGATTTTAATCAGAAAAATTGGGGAGCTGTGCACCTCGCTCGTTGTACGCTATTCGGAAAGCTTTTCCCAAAATCACGTGCGATTATCGGACACTATTTACCGCGGATTATGGCTTGATTCTTCCTTCTTTTTGGCCATGAAAAAAAAAATCGAAATCATCCTCTATCGCGCCCAGCCGTGTTTTATATATATTTCAGCTCCACCAGCCCTGCATCCACCTCGAACTGTAGCTATATAGATACATATTATAATAGCCGCAAGCGAGATTTGATTTTTTTTTTCGTCTCTCGTCATTCGTCGCTTTCCCGATTGTCATCGTACCACACATGCGTCGCTGCAAGTCTCCGAAATCATCATCATCGTCGTCGTCATCGCGCCCGCGTGATTTTCGCCGGGGCTGCCGCGCTGCGGGTCGTTCGCTCGCTTCCTCTCGAGTACGTATACGTATATAACGCACGGGCAAAAATACGCATAAAAATATCGATCGTCATTCGGCGCCCGGCGTTTTGTTGCCCCCATTGTGTCGGGGTGCTGGCCTGTATATACACTGTACCATACTAGCTACTACTACGGTGCAGTGACATACTGCTACTATGTGTGTGTGTGTGTGTGTGTGTGTATGCGTGCGTATAGTTAGTATTGCTTCGGCACCCCCCCTGGCGCGTTTCGAGTCCTGCGCGCATAGAGCGCGGGGGATGCCGAGAGCGAGCCGGGGCACAGTCGAGTCAAACAGGCGCGCAGATCGCCGAGTCTCCGATTTTGTGCAGTACCATGTATATATATACGTAGCTTGTTTGCAGCGGCCTATGCAGGCGTATTATTATTGCCGATCCGACGCGGCTAATACGTATATACACGGAGAGACGCAGGCATGATTTTCGGCAAATTTTTCCCGAAAATTGCCGTGTCCAAAGACTCAATCGTACATACGTATTATGTTGTGTCGCGTGCCGCTGCCTTTTGTCCATCGAAACGCGCATCGAAACGCGCGACTCCTTATATTTGTACACGCGCACATACATTATAAATATATGCTATAAATATCACGCGATCTTATAATTCCAATCCCGTTGCAATTAGAGAAATTCGAAATACATAATTATGCGCGTCGCTAAAAATAATCACCGCGAGTAAAAGTGTCAAATAGACGAGTGAGCGACAAATTAGCTCGAAGTCGCGCGTTATAATAGCGACACGCGCCAAACGTGTATATACGTCGTGTGGCTGCACTTGAAATTCGGCTGATCGAGTAGTCAAGCAACACTTTCGAGGAAAACATCACTTGTACATGTAAATAGGGTCTAAGACCATTGGACTTTCGGAATCGGCCTGTGTATATAGACACGCAGGATGCGCCGGTGCCAATTTGACCCTCGTGCGATGATTGTGGCGGCTGCTCGCGTGGAGATCGATCAGTCAACGCGCGGGGCCATTTATGTAGAACGAAAAAATGTATATTAATTGGAATTATATTATAAGCTGCGCGATCGAAGTGTCGGTGTGTGTGTGTATAGTATACAAAAGGAAAATTGCTTGATGTACAAGGCTCTCGAGTGGCCGTGCAGCTGCCCGTCGTATATATACATACTGGATCTGCTCTGTATCTAATGCTGCCACTGGCCGCTCGTTATATATTATTATTATTATACAGTTAGACGTCGTGTAAAAATTTGTTTCTATATCAGTGTCGTGTGATGAACGCGTGCCGCTATATATACATACAAGTACTATCTCTATAGCTGCTACCATTGATAATCGGCCGCGCGACGCGTGTACTTATTGGATCTGTATGGCCAATAATGTGTATGTTTGTTCACGTGAAATCGAAAATATATTCGTTTTATCGATGAGAGGGATCGTGCAGGTGGAAATTGTTTGCTCGAGCGATCGTCCTCGCGGCTACAGCTGATAGATAAAAGTCCACCGGCTCTTCTCTTCTTTCCCTCTTTTTTTTTCTTGAATTTTCGCGTCGAGTACGCTGCGACAGTGCCAGACTCAATTTTCGCGAAGGATAAACAAAATTAAAAGTTTTTACGGATACTAGTCAGAGTGCGAGTCTGGTAGATTTTGCCAGACTTCGGAAAATTCGCGATTTTCTAGAGAAAAAGTTCTGACAAATGTTCTGTCAAATTCGCCAAACTGTTTTAAATTTCCTTTTTAAGTCTTTATGAAAGTACGGCATGATGCAGCTTTTCTAACTTTTCGCAATCAATATATAGTCATTGGAAATGTTTTTGCCGCTTGCGAGTTTACGATGCTCCATCTGTTGACCGAATCGAAAAGCTCATAATCGAACGTGACACCTTTGAATACGATGAATCTTGTTACAATTCAAAACAAATTCTGGAATATTAATCCTGACATTTTCCTTCAAAAATATAATTCGTGTTTTTAATTCAATAAGCCACTGTGTAAGAACAATTGTTAGAAATGATACTTGAATAAATACAAAAACCGAGTTATAAAATATACTCGAAATATACATTAACGTGTAAAATAATTGTGTTCTAAGCGGAAAAGGTATCATGACATTTTCCTCTTAGATAGGTCGATTTCAAGATATTTAACATTTTATTTAAAAAAAACCTTGGATACCTTGAACTTTAACAGTGAAAGACTAAATAAAAAAACGGGAAATCTTGATGCGAATATAGTGTTTTCTTATTCTTAGGACATCCTTTTATAAAGTCACTAATTTTCAAGCATTCGAAAAAAAATTACATATATAGAGGAACAATGAAGGCATGACCTTTATAAATCTGAAGTATTGTTGTCTTATATCTCCTCAACTTGACTCTCTTACTTGCGAGAGCGACTTTAGCGCTCCATCGTAGCCCAGCGGTAGCATATTGTTAATTTGCCATTGATACTCTATGGGCTGAACGTAGACTGAAAGATGGAACGAGAGCACTGATAAATAATCTTAGTCCATAATTTTAAACATTTGGAATGTATCGATTCTCGCTAATTTTATCAATTGCTTATCGCATACTTCAAGACCAAAGGACTCGATAGAAAACATCGTATACTTTC